CTTTTTAAGTTTTCTTTGTCTTCTTGGGTCAGTCTTGGTTGTTTGTGTCTAGAAATGTATTCATTTCCTCCAGGTTTTCAAATTTGTTGGCATTTAGTTATTTATAATAGTCTCTAATGATTCTTTGTATTTCTGTGGCATCAGTTGTAATGTGTCCTTTTTCATTTCTGATTTTTATTTAGAAGTTCTCTGTTCTTTTTTCTTTTTTCTTTTTTTAATGTTAACCTAGCTAATAAAAAAGGTAAAACATACCTTTTGGTTCATTGAACTTTTGTACTATTTGGGGATTTCTATTTCATTTAGTTCTGATCCAATCTTAATTATTTCTTTCTGTCTACTAATTTGGGGTTGGTTTGTTTCTGTTTTTCTAGTTCTTTGAGCTGTAGCATTAAGTTTTTTATTTGAAATCTTTCTATTCTTTTGAGTTAAGCATTTACTGCAATAAACATCCCTCTTAGAAAACACAACAAACAAAATAATTCCTTAAACTTGTTAAGACAAGTAAACAGATATAATGTTGGAGGGGGGAGGACAGAGAGGAAGGGAAGAAGAGGAATGGGTAAAGGTTCTCGAAAATCAACTACAATGCATATTGAGAAGTTAAAATAAATAAATAAATAAATAAAATTAAAATCTTTAAAAAAAAACCCAACTTCCTTCTTAGTACTGCTTTTGCAGAATCTCACAGGCTTTGGTATGATAACAGAGAGGGAGGGAAGAAGAGGAATGGGTAAAGGTTCTCGAAAATCAACTACAATGCATATTGAGAAGTTAAAATAAAATAAATAAATAAATAAAATTAAAATCTTTAAAAAAAACCCAACTTCCTTCTTAGTACTGCTTTTGCAGAATCTCACAGGCTTTGGTATGATGTCTCTTCATTTTTGTTACTTTTAAGAAATTTTTTGATTTCCTGTTTAATTTCTCCTTGGACCCATAGGTCATTCAGGAGCCTATTGTTTCATTTCCGTGTATTTGTATAGTTTCCTGAGTTTTGCTTGTAATCAATTTCTAGTTTTAATCCATTGTGGTCTAAAAAGATACTTGAAATGATTTTGATTTTTTAAAATTTGCTGAGACTTGATTTTGATCTAACATATGGTCTATACCAGAGAACGTTCCGTGTGCTGATGAGAAGAATGTATATTCTGTAGTTGTGGATGAAATGTTCTGTAGATATCTTCCAGTTTCAAATGGTCTAAAGTATAGCTTAAATCCTGTGTTTCTCTACTGATTTGCTGCTCACATGATCTGTCCAGTGCTGACAGAGAGCTGGTTAGGTCCCCTACTGTTACTGCATTGGGTTCTATCTCTTTCCTTAGGCTTAAAAGCGTTTGCTTTATGTATCTCAGTGCCCTGGTGTTAGGTGCATATTTATTTATGATTGCTATATCTTCTTGCTGGATATATCCCTTTCTCATTGTATAGTGGCCTTGTCTCTTTTCATGGTTTTGGTTTAAAATCTATTTTATCTGATATAAGAATAGCTGTTCCTGTTCATTTCTGGTTTCCATTTGTGTGGTATATATTTTTCTAACCTTTCATTAGTAGTCTATGTTTGTCTTTACAGGTGAGGTGAGTATATAGAAGACAGCATATAGTTGAGTCTAGCTTTTTAATTCAGTCTGTCAGTTTGTGTCTTTTGAGTGGGGAATTCAATTCATTTACATTTAGTGCTGTTATTGAGAGGTATTGTCATACTCCTGGCATTTTATTGCTTTTTGTTTAGATGTTTTGAATATCTTTTGTTCCTTTTTCCCCCTTTTATTGTTCATCTTCAATGTTTGTTGGTTTTTGAGGCAGTAAGTTTTAGTTTCTTTTTCTTTCTCACTTGCATTTTTGTTTTTCTAGTGGGTTTTGTTCTTTATTTTGTATTCATGGCAGCAATTACTGTTTTTTAGATTCCAGATTTAGAACACCCTTGAGAATTTCTTTCAGGGCTGGTCATGTAATGGTGAACTTCTGCAGTTCTTGTTTGCATGGGAAATACACTATTTCTCACATGTTTCTGAAGGATAGCCTTGTTAAGTATAGTATTCTTGGCTGGCAGGGTTTTTTTCTTTAGTATTTTGAACATATCATCCTATTTTTTTCTGGCCTTTAGAGTTTTAGCTGAAAAGTCTGCTGTTAGACTGATGGGGGCTCCCTGATAGGTGACTTGACACTTTTCTCTTGCTGCTTTTAGGATTCTTACTTGTCTTTGAGCTTTGCCAGTTTGATTATAATGTGTGTTGGAAAGGATCTTTGTGGACTGAATCTGTTTGGTGATCTTTGAGTTTCCTGGATATGAAGGTATATGCCTTTTCCTATACCTGGGAACTTTTCCCTTATTAATTCATTGAATAGGTTTTCAATGCCTTTATCTTTCTCCTCCCATTCTGGAACACCTATGGTTTGGGTGTTTGTATGCTTAAGCTTGTCTGCTAGTTCTCTTCAAGTTTTAATTCCCCCCCCCCCTTTTTTTTTTTGGTCCACCTAGGTTATTTCAAGAAGACTGTTTTTGAGATCAGAAATTCTTTCTTCTTTTTGGTCTAACATGCTGCTTAAGGTCTTGGTTGTGTTTTGTATTTCATTCTATGAATCCTTCAGTTCCAAGCATTCTGCTACATTCTTTTTTTAAACATTAATCTCTTTGTAAATTTCCCCCTTCATATTCTGGGTATTTTTTCTCCTTTCATTGTATTGTCTAACTGAGACTTCTATTGTCTCATTGAGTTTTCTTAAGATTGTTACTTAGACTTCCTCTTCAGTCATTTCAAAGTTTTCCTGCTCTGTGAGGTCTGGTACTTGAGAATTACTGTATTCCTTTGGTGATGTCATATTTTCCTTTTTATTTATTTATTTATCCACAACTAACCCAATAAATTAGTAATCTCTATGGTTATAAACAAAGAGAGAGAAAAGACAAACAGATAAATAGTGAGAGATCCATGATAGAAAAGGGAGACTGAGATTTGATTCATTTTCACTTTCATTTCTTCCTTTAGTCATTTTTTTTCATTTAGCTTTTATTAATTGAACCAGGTATTCTTTTGGATATTACTGGGTATATTGTTTAAGAGGACAAGCAAATTTTAAACTTGTATATTTAACAATACGTTGGGACCTAATTTTATATATCAAACTGGTAAAGCAGAACAATTTGGTTTCAGTCATAATTTCTAAAGAATACTTGAAGTTTGTAATACCTCTTATAATTCCCACAAGAATGGGTATGGTTGATACAATACTTTTTTTGAGTACCACTATGTAAATGAAGATACAGAGTTAATTTCAGTCACTTTCACAAATGACCCAGATTCAGATTTCAGTTGGCACAAAGTGGTTTTCCAGCATTTTCAAATGAAAATAAATATTTTCTACCTATTCGTTTCTCTGTGGAAATTAAAATCAAACATCCTGCTCTGTAACAAGCACAGGGAATTGATGTATAAGAACAGCTTCCAAGGTCTCTTGTCTTCCACGAATAACTATGATTTGCCACAGGCTCTTGAGATATTTAAAATGTTTACACATATGTAGTGGTAGCAGAGCACTGGAGAAACCCAGTGGCTAATAACGCAG